TTAAGTTTGGGGTTGATCCATGGACGACGAAGAAACAACTGTTACCGTGTCTTAGTGCTTCACAGATTGATGTCTTCATAGAAGGGAAACCTCCAAACAGATTAAATTGAAAGTTGGTTGATCTACATTTCTCTCTCCACTAATGGTTTACTCTTCCATGGTTCGAATCTCAGTTAAAATATACGAAGTACAGAAATATAATATTCACTTTACAAATTAAAAATGTCTTACTTTTATAAAATTCAGCATCAAGAATTACAACTAGAAACTAAGTAAGGAGTGCTCCAATTTAACACCTAATACAAAAAAATAAACGGTACAAAATATTTAGTAAATTATTTTAATTGCGAATTCGCCGATTTTAGTATTAAATTATACTATTCATATTTAATTAAGAAAAAAATCAACGGAATAAGAATTAACATTATAAAAATAAACAATCCACGCGGTAAAGCCATGAGTCTCTAACATATGTACTGGTGAATCAGTTAACTTTCCAAAGTTTCGCCAATTTGGGCATCATAAGGGCAGGAAAAAACAAGATAAAAAAAGTTATTTTACTCTTATTTTTTTCTGTATATATGTATCTTGGTTTTTTTTTGGTCCTGATGATACCTAAATTGGCGAAGCGTTGGCAAGTTAACGGTTCACCAGTACGAGTATGTTAGAGACCCATGGCTTTATAGTTTGGATTGTTCCATTTATAATGCCTTTTTTCGTGCTCTATGCTTATTTCAGTTTTTATAAAATTATTTAATATCTGAGTGATATGAATATTTGCTTTCAACTCAAAAATTAAATTATAAGGTTCAAATTAAAATCCGTTTTAATGTCAATATTATTAAGTAGATAATTCATTCAAATAAAATTAGTATATCCGTATAGCTGATCCATTGGGGACCAATCAAAAATGTCCTCTCCGACTCAATCGGGTTCAAGGGCAGCGACAAATCATTTTAGATCTATGGATTATGGGTGCTTAGATCCAGCAGGCAGACCTATATTTATTTCCCTGAAACAAACCGTCCATGTACAAAACTTCTGGGGGCTACTGACATCCAGGAAAATCACACTATGATTTCTGATTACAGGTAGGGACATCACTCCTACGCCTAGTCTATGGTCTCGACCCATATATATATACATATATATATATATATATATATATATATATATATATATATATATATATTGTTATTCAAAACAAAAATGGCGATACTACTGGTGATATCGATATAGATGGTAATATGTTTGAGCAGGTAGATAAGTTTAGGTATCTAGGTTCTACGATAACTAGAAAAAACGAAATTGAAGAAGAAATTAAGGTTAGACTGAAGGCGGGAAATGCTTGTTATTTTTCTGTGACAAAACTACTTAGTTCGCGCCTTTTGTCCCGAAACTTAAAAATTAGAATCTATAAAACAATTATCTTGCCTACAGTTCTTTATGGGTGCGAAACTTGGCCGCTTACATTAAGGGATGAGCAGCGTCTTAAGGTTTTTGAAAATAAAGTATTGCGTAGAATATTCGGACCGAAGAAGGATGAATTAACCGGAGAGTTCAGACGGTTACACAACGCCGAATTACGTGAACTGTATCCGAGTAATATAATTGAGATAATTTCATCGCGGCGAATCAAATGGGCTTGTAAAGTTGTTGGACTTAGTAACGAGAGAATTCCTAAACGGTTAATATTTGCTGTGCCGAATGGTAAGCGTCCGAAGGGTAGACCGAAGCGAAGGTGGGAAGATTGCATTAAAGCTGATCTGAAGGGACTGGGTTTGGACGGCGAACGGTGGAGGGAGGTGTGTAATAAGCGATTGGTGGTGTCGGCATCGAACCTTCGGGTTCGCTAAGCCTTTTTATTATTATTATTCAAAACAAATCTCCGTCCTCATCCCTTCAATTATCACAAGGTGTTTCTCAGGGTTCCTCGCTCTCTCCGACCCGTTTATCCATTTATCACTTCCGATATCGTTTATATGCAGAGGTTCTCCAAATTACCCATCGTTCCAACCTTCTGAGATGCCTGAGTCTACCCGAGGATATTGAATAATAAAACTACAAGAGGATATTGAGTGTATCCGCAGGTGGGCAGAAAAAAACGAACTGAAGCTGAACGCAGATAAAACTAAAGCGATCCTCATCGGTTCCAAGTATCTCATTAGTGCCCTTCCTATCTCTCCTTTACTTTAACTCAATAACCGTCCCATCCATTCATTTCTAACAGTAAAAAATCATGGAGTAATCTTTGATCAGAACCTATCTTGGAATAACAGCATTTCCCAGATTTCCCGAAAATCTATAACTATCCTTAAACAATTCCTACGATTCCGTGAATCTATTCCAAAAAATCACTAGACAGCTCCTTGTAACATCCCTTGTTTTCCCCCACTTCGACTACGGTTGCTGGGTGTATGGAGTTCTGTCCACAAACTGGAGGAGAGACTGATGAGAATCATGAATTGCTTCATAAGATTTAACTTGGGGATCCCTAGGCGTTCCCATGTTTCCTGCTTATACACCGAGTTGAAATGGCTCTATCCTACTTTCCGTCGGCAATTCGTTCTTAGTATTTTCCTTTTCTAAGTCCTTAGAACCGAAAATCCTCCCTACATCCTAGAACTCCTTAATCTACGTTCCTCTATCCACTCTCTTAATACCGCTCCTCTATTAATTTATAGATTTATATATCCCCATCCATAAAACCACTTTCTTCAGCATATCATTCGTCATTCGTGCTAACTCATTTTTGAACTCCTTACCTGTCTCCATACGTCAAACCACGTCCTCAAATTCCTTCAAACAATTTTTATTCCCCCCTCTATTACACTAAGAATTTTTAGGCTATGTAATTATAATAGCTTGCCAACAATTAATTGATAAGAGCCATTTTACTTTTATTTTTCCCTCAGCGTTTTTTGTATATAATTGTATTTTTCTTAGGATCCTTTTTATATATTTGTACTATAACTACATACCAGACTGATGTATATATTTTTTTAACTCTGCTGTTATTCTAAGGGGGCTTTAGTCCTAAAATAAAATTATTTTTCATTCATTCATTCATATGTGTATATATATATATATATATATATATACACATATACATATATGAATATTGTCCATCATTTGTCTTATTATAAAAATGTCTGATCCTTTGAATATATAAATATATATATATATGGGGGACTGCGGTAGCCGTACGGGCTAAGGCGCTTGCTATAGGTAATCAAAGTTAAGCAATGTCAAGCGTGGTAAGTACTTGGATTGGGGAACCGCCCGATTTGGATGACCGTCCACCAGGGAAAAAACCATGCTGCCCGAGTCCCTCCCCTCCCCCGGGTATGTGAGACCGATCAGTCTACTGGAGGCAACTCGCACCGACCGGGACTGATGACTCTACCCCGGGTACTTAATCGGGAATCGGAATGTGGTCTACCAGGATGTTAGTAGCCGCCCTGAGATTCGGTCCATGGACAGTCTGTTTCGGGGAAAGAAATATAGGTCCTAGTGACGAAATATGGCCTGCCGCTGCACCATGTTAACCATGGTTCGTAGCAACCTGGGGTTGCGTGACCCCGTCCAGGCTATCTGAGCTCCCGCAAGCAACATACATCTGCAAGGAGACCACATATCGCGGCCAAAGATCTTCATGGTTTGTAGTGCCAACCAAAAAAAAAAAAAATATATATATATATAATATATATGATATATAAATTTCATTTTTTTCTTCCGTTGACTTCCCATATAAATCTTTGACCTTTTAAACCAGCCTTCTCCATATCTGCCTATCTTGGGCTATTTCTTTTATAATTTTTTTTACATATAGCTATGCAGCATCTTTGTTGGCTCGATATTGATTGACCAGTTTTTATATGCAGTTCTTTCTTCGTGGGTCTCCTCCATGCATTAGTACAATTATCCCAGATCGCTTTAGTTATCTTGCGGAGGATGTGTCTTCCATTAGTTATTTCTAGGGTGCTGATTAGTGTCCAGGTCTCGCAGTTGTATCATTACTGGCTTTATTATAGCATTGCATATCCTTAGTTTGATATTTAATATTTCTAGAGATGAGCATGATATAGTGTGATAAAAATTATTTTTATTGTGGATTGGTTGTTTTCATTTGAAATAGAAACTTTGTATTCTATTTCCAATATTTTACTCTTGAAGTTACTTGAACCAAGAGTAATAATAAAATAGTAATCACTCGTTCTATTCAAAACTACCTCCACTCATGTTTGCATATTTTATGGATTACTTCTCTTTTTATAAATTCCGCCCAAATATAATATATATTTATAATATATATATAGAATTACAATAATAAATAACATGATAATAATCATGTATAATGTATAATAGATAGCCTTATCTTCAAATTTGAGCAAGAATCTTAAAAGGCCTCAAAAGTTGGCTGGCATGGTGATATGATATTGGCTTTCAATATCATATCTTCGCCACTACGGTGAACAGATTAAGCTATGCAATTATCTGATTTACCTGTGGATATAAAGTTTCATAAATATTTCAAAAAATTCATTTTGATTAATAATTTTGCAAACAAAATCTGCTAATGTTTGTATAATTATAGAAATAGAAATATACATTCAAAATGATAAAATGTGTGGTGTAATTAAAACTATATAAGTATGAAGTAATATAGTTTTAGAAAATTAAATAAATTGAGTTCATTCTGAACCAAAGTTAAGAATATTATATTCAAAGAAAAAGTAAGGGTGAACTCATTTAAGTGTATCGAAAAGTTTTATATCCAAAAGCTGTTCCTGTTTTGCGTTTTCCGTATAATTGTGACTAATAAAGTCGTTTAGTTATTACCTCCGAATGTTGTTTCATCCAGTTATTATATTTTTATAACTCTTAATAAATAAAAGTTTTAAATTATTTTATTTATTAGTGCATGTTTAATTTTGATTCCATTTCTACTAACAAATAAATTTAAATGACGTCATCAGCTGTTGTTCAGTGAGCCACCACCTTACACTGCTCAGCCCGCTCTTCGTGGCTGTATTGAAGTTGTTACTCTAAGTTCTTTGACGTTTTTCTGTTGTCTAGTGACTTCAGTCTTATGTTTTCTTGTGTTGAAGTTTATTCAAATTTTCAAAGCATTATAAAGTTGTTGTTAGTTGGTTTTGGGTTTTAGTGGTTTACAAGCAAAAGGGTGTTTGTTTATTATCGGTGACTGCTTAAACATGACAGTTGATTTTCGTGATTATTTCTGGGTAAGTGGTATAAATATCTAATTATTCAGTGGAAATGCGATTTTATTTAGACAATTTATTCTTTATACTTAATATTATGTCAACATAGATGTTAGGGAATGAAACAGGTAGTGCATGAGAGTTAACTAACTGATAAAAGTTGTCATTTTTATGTTTAGACCTAGCTTTGGTTTTATCTCACTTCAAAAAAAAACCCAACACCATTTACTGATATAAGGAAAGGTCTTATCTTTGGATTTTATTATTGTCATTGTATACCTGTCTACTATCGTTAAATTTTTTGTTGTAAAGTAGTCAATTTTGATCTGCTTTGATGTATTCAGAATTGTACTGTTAGGAAAACATGGTAAGAATTGTTAGTTTGATCTAACCAGTTAATTGTTAATCATTTATGGCAATATTATATAATTCTTGCACCTGTGTGTTCTTAATTTTATGCTGTGTTGTAGATAATATCTAGATCTATTTGAGTGTTGTCATTATCATTTCAAAAAAATATTGTTGGAGGCCCAAAAGAACAGATTTTATTTTAATTCTGTGCTTGCCATACAGTTTCATGCTGAATTGCTAAGTGTTTTTCTTGAATTTATCCAAAACCATACATATTGTACTAAAATCATTTTAGTACAATATTTTATTGGGTTCTTTTCATTCGATACATTTTTAAGCAATCATATTAAAATACAATTTAGCACATGTAATTATTGTTGTAATTCATGTTTAAAAAAGTGGTTCTTGTGACATTCATCATTATGCTGATAAAGACATCAATATAATTTAGCTGTTACTCCTTTATTCCAAGAGCCTTAATTTACAAATGTGATTGAAACTACGCTTTGTTCATTGAAATAAATTGTTTATTAAATTTTGGTGAAGTAACTGTGATTTGTTTTGGTCTCAATCCTACCTCAGTTGTTGATATGATAAGTAAAAATTGGATGAATTCATTTTTATCATTCTGCAGTTGTTATTTTAAAGTATTTATTAATATTTGATAATGATTTCCATTTGATGTATGCTTATTGTAAAATAATTAAACTTTAAAATCTCATAGAATTAATACAATTAACAACATCCATTTAATATTGCATTAAAAAATAATAATAATAAAGTCATCTTACTTATTATACGAAAAGTGACACTATATTACCCTTAAACGACTAGTCTTATATCTTATGTTTAAAGGTAATTCTCGATTCTGTTTTTTTCTCTTTCTTACGTGATTTTTTTTTTTTTTTTTTGGATATAACCTTTAAAAAAACAATTTATTTACTTTAAATTTGTTGGCTTTTTCATAAAAGTGTTTTATGCTTAACCTTATTTTCATCATTAGCCTCTATTTGATCATTACAAATGACCTCTTTTAATAACGGCGGCTTGGAAAATGGATAGATAATTATCAATCTTGTAATGGTGGTTGTTTCGTCTTTTTCCTGGGGCATATAGAAACTGGGTAATAGCTGTTGATTGCTTAAAAGATATCTAATGCTGCACTATTTATAATAGTTCATTCTTTTAATCTTATGAGATATCTTTATATTGTTTTCCTTTTAATCAGCCAACTATTTTCAATATCTATTTCAGCCTCTCCATACTATTGTCAATTGGTTCTCCACTCTTTTAACCAATAACCTAATAACACTGAAATTAATAATTAAATTGTAAAATTACCATTACATTGCTTATATAATGTATAAATACTCTTTGATGTAGTCTTTTATTAAATTACCAGCAATTTTTGTGACTGGCAACAATTATCTGTTCTCTTTTACTACTTAAATGCTGTTAGTTTATTATCATATTTTTTCTTTGCTATTAACTCCTTCAGTTTATCGTTTTGTTGAGTTTGTGTGAGCCCCATTCTTCTAAGAATGTAAACATCTGATAACCTCATCTTTAAACCTCAACAATTAAGATTTTCCAATGTCATTTTAAAATTGTCCAACTTAACCGTCATATCCTTTTCAAGATCTTACAATGTTCACTTTTTTCCCTCTAATAGTTAATTTACTCCCAATAAAACGAGTTATTCCAATATAATGTTAATTTGTATTTCTTTGTTTTCTAGCTAAACCACTAATTTCAGCATTCATGTGAACATGTTGAAAATGTAGTAGTATGAGAAATATAATTGGCCATTTATTCTTATATATAAGATATCTTCTTCTTTGTATTACTCTTTGAGCCATAATTGGTGTAGAGGGATCTCAATCCAGCGAAGCTAGTCGACCTGGTCTCCTCACATCCTCTTCCTTTGAGTAAGAGTTTTTCTCTTGCTTGATGTTATTCTTCGTACTTCTTAGGTGACCTTCGGGCCTCTTGCCATATGAGAGCATCCATGATCTTTTTGGGTAGCTGTTCTTCATCCATGAGGCAGACATGTCGAAACCACTTGAGCTGCTGCATTTCAAAGGAAGTCAATTCTGTCACTTGTAACCTTATATTCTTATCTCCTCTCTCCTCCTTTTAACTAACACTCTTGCAGGAATTTTATTTCTGCTTCCGTGATTTGGCTGATGTGCTTGTCAAGATCCAACTTTCACTACCATTATGTAAGCTTAAGAAGGTAAATGTAAAGCTTATAGTTTGTGGGCCAGACCCCTCTACTGTGCACCTCCCCTCCTCACCCCCCACATCCCTATAAATTGCATATTGATGTGTTCCTTGTAACTATTTATTAAAAAAAAAGCCAATGTTCCCACAAAAAAAAGTGAACGCACTGCCCCAAAATGGCGTCCTGACGACTTTGACTTTATTTAGTTTTTTAGTCATTGAGAATCAGTATTTTTACTGAATTGTAGTAGCTTAATTTCGTCATAGTTGGTCTTTTATTAAAGCTGGATAGTCATAAAATAATAAAACATGAAAAAATATTAAAAATTAATTGGCTTAGGCAATAAAAAACACCAGTAAAGTAAATTGTTTTAACAAAAAATAGTTTAGGTTGAAAATCAAGCGTTGTTTGTAATTAAACGGCCTACAATAATGGAAAATATGCTGAGATAAAACATCTGGTAAATATATTTCTCTTTCTAAAACACAGATTACTTTTTAAAATATTTGAAGCAGTTCCGTAGAAAATGCACTTAAGCAGCAGAAAAGCGTTACTGGCGTAGGTACCTACAGGCCTCTACCACTCCATTCAGTACTCATAAATGGCATAGTTATAGTGCTATAATGATGTTTGTGGTACATTATATTGATTGCATTAACGAAGAAATATTAATACAATAATTTAACTTCCTTTATTCTATACGGAAGTCATTTAAGAAGGCCTCTATTGTAAAAATGATATAATTATAATAATAAAACATAATTCAAAAATACTTTGCTGAATATCCTGAATTTTTATTTAACATTTGCAATTTAACACTTTATTTTGTATATTTACTAATTCTTAGAGGTAATTTAAATTGTATATACTTCCCCGGAAATGAGTCATATTAACACCTGCTTTATAAAATAAAATAATTTATACCTACTCTGAACTACATATAATGAATAATTGATGAGTTGTTTAGTAAAACTATGTATCACAAATAAAAAAAAAAAATTAATTTTTATTTCCTTTATTTTGTTAGGAAGTTGGACCATATCATAAGAAAATAGCAAATTTTAATATTGAATGCATTATTCTCTCTGCAAAAAGAAAGGTGGAAAGGGAGAGCTATAAGTTATTCTAGGTGACCGGAACTGATTGTTTGTATTTGGTCTCAAAATGAGGGAAAACAAGAAATTGAACCCAAAAACTAAAAAAAAACTACATTAAATGAAAGGAAGTGCTAAAATCTCGGAAAATAAAACAAGGATCAGTATCTATTATAGGGCTAAACGAATATATAGTAGATAGATGAACAGAATATTTCAAGATGCTGCTGAAAGAGGGTCAATGCTGAAGCAGTTTGGATGATATTAAGGAGACGATGCAGTTTTATTATGGTGAAGACTATTTTATCAGCGAGAAAGATTGGTGCGAAGCAATTGGTAAGTCTGCAGATCTGGATGAAGTAAACCGTACTGCTGTGCCTATTTAGGCTACAAATGTTAAAGATATATTTCTCCACTTTTTCAATGTATATTGAATAATGTGCCATTAGAAAATGATATGATAGGACTGTAGTTTTGTCCCTTACAAGAATGGAGATACTAGGAAATTTAATACCCATCGAGATTCATTCCTGTTTAGTGTACCAAAGAAATTATACCCTAGAATCGTAAAAGCTAGAATAAGAAATATTGTTGATTACCAGAGCGATACGGGTTAAGAAACTCAAGTTGAACATTGGGACTGTCTTCACTTTAAGGCAAGTTATAGAGAAGTCCATCAAGACAGAAAAATAGCTCTCTATCTGCTTAGTGCCACACACTTTCGATTTTACTAATATATACTTGTTTTTCGGGAAAAGCTGTTTTCCTTTCTGATTCCTTCAAAGATCTTTTTTTGCAAATGCACTAAACAGAAAGAGAGCTATTTCCCTTTCTCGATAGATCTCTCTATAACCTGCTTCAAAGTGAAGATAGTCCCAATGTGCAACTTAGATAGCAATCGAATATAAACTGGTTTTTACCATAATAGACCTCCATCGTCCACTTAATATCATCCAAACTGCCCCAGCATTTGATCGCCTTTTAACAGCTCCTTGAAATATTCTGTTCATCTGTCTACTATACATTAGTTTAGCCATATAATGGATACTGATCATTGTTTTCTTTTCCGAGATTTTGTCAATTCCTTCCTTGTTCGGTTAATGTATTTTTCTGATTTTTGGGTTAAATTTCATGCTTTTCCTCTTTTTGAGACCCAATACTAACAATTAGTTACGATTACCAAGAAGAACATATATCTTTCGCTTCTCTCTATCTTTCTTTGTGCAAAGAGAATAATACATTTAATTTATATTAAAATTTCCTATTATTGTATGATATGGTCCAACTTCCGAACAAAATAAAGGAAATAAAAATTAATTTTTTATTAGTGATATATGAGTTTTACTAAACAATCCATCAACTATTCATTATATGTAGTTCAGATTAGGTATATATTATTTTAGTTTATAAAACAAGTATTAATATGACTCATTTCCGGGGAAGTGATATACAATTTAAATTACCTCCAAGAATCAGTAAATATACAAAACTAAGTGTTGCATCTCAAACGTTAAATAAAAAATTCAAGATATTCAGCGAAGTATTTTTGAATACAAACGGCACCACTCCATTTTCAACCTGAAGATTAAAAAAAATTTACTTTTGTTTTTTATTGCCTAAGCCAATTAATTTTTAATATTTTTTCATGTTTTATTATTCTCTGACCATCCAGCTTTACTAAAAGACCAACTATGACGAAATTATGCCAGATAGTGATTCTCAGTGACCAAAAAACTAAATAAAATCAAAGTCGTCAGGATGCCATTTTGGGGCATTGCGTTCACTTTTTTTTTTTTTTTTTTTTTGTGGGAACATTGGTTTTTTTTTTTAATAAATAGTTACAAGGAAGACGATATGCAATTTATAGGGATGTGGAGGGGAGAGTGCACAGTACGGGGCTCTGGCCCAACGTGTATTATTTATTTTTCCTACATTTTGATTTCAACTTATGCTATTGCAAATCTGGTAATTTATTAGTTTTGTTTGCCTTGTTAATCCTGTCTCCAATATCTTCGTCTATTTTACCAGACCTTCGAATATTGGTTCCTAGAAGTTGTGGTCCACCATATCAAGAGCTTTTCCATCGCTTATTATATCAATGTATCCATATACATACCCATAGGCACAGACATCAGGGAGGACTCCAATAAAATAGAGAGGAGGCGAGAATATTGTTTTGCTTCCTTAATATTTCAAGAAACTAAATTGAATAAAAAGTAATATTAAAATCAATAACAATTAATCTATATGAATGAATAAAATATGTAAACTAAAATAAATTAAGCAAATAAAAAAAATTGACTTGATGGCTAAGCGAAGTCCTAGAAGTGGACTTGCTTTTGGTAGTATTTATCATCATTCTTTCCCAATGAAGCTCCTGTTTCCTATTGACAAAGGCTTGCAGCAGCTTTTCCCTTTTGCCTGCCTTTATATTCTAATTAACTAAACTTGTGGTAAAAAAAAAAAAATGGCGCTTGAATTTAAAGTAAAAACTGCTTATTAAAGAAATATTTTTGAGTTTGGAGTAGTAACAAATATTTGAAAGGCAAAGAGGATTACGATGCATTAATCCTTTAAAGAAAATTTTATAATTCTCTCTAGGATTAATGATAAAAATATTAAGATAAAACGTGGACTTCATATCAGTTTGTCTCCAGTTATCTGTTCAATCGCATTGATTTTTCATTTGTATTTTTTTTTTCTTGAGAAACAATATTTCTTTGGTATCAAATATTTTTAAGAGTTTAAATGGTTTTGATGCCGTGGTAGTAACTCAAATTATTGCGTTGATTGAGGATGGCGGAAGTCAGCGATACCTGAGTCCACGGGCTGTCTGAATCAGTTCAGAGGGCAGTCTAAAGGTACTGGAAGATAGTAAGTTACGCTATGAGGCTGGGATCAGGCCTTCTAACGGCGACAGTTCCAGCTGATGACTGCTTCTATTCGTGTAGACCCTCAGGTTTCACTTCCACACTTCAAATGATACCTCTCACCGATTGGGTGTTGCTTGGATTGCAGATGGCAGCACGCTGATGGTACGGAGGAGGCTTGCTGAACTCAACCTGTACGTTAGGGTCTTCTCTTCCGTCCCTCAACTTACTGTAGAACACCAAGCAGCTTGCTTCCACTTTTGCAGCCTGGTTTGAAAATTATTGGGCCTCTGTTCTGTTTTCTGACTATTCCTTTGTAGTGTAAATGAGCGAGTTTAAGTGTAGAAAATACCAGATGAGTGATGTGCTCAGCGCAATATAGCGGGTAGAGTACAATTAATAGGAAATTCCGGTATGAGCCAGTTATTGAAATTGGGTTCCCAGGAGATCCTGGTGTACTAAAAGTTGTCCTACACCCCAGCTTACTTCTTTAGATATTTTGCATATATTGCATATAATCTAATTCGTTTTCCAAGGTCATTTTTATTAAACTTAACTTGAATTAGACTTCAGTGAACAGGGGGGTTATGCATGTTTGCAAACCATTGTGTACTATTTTAATTTACTTTTAACATGATATTCATTTCTTAATGTTACAATATTATAATTTCTTGGTGTAACTAAACATAAATATATCATTAGGCTTTTAGTATTTTGTAACATAAAACTGATATTGTATTCCTAAATAATAATTTTATATCTTTTAATATAATTTTCAGGGAGAAAAAAATAATGGTTTTGATGTACTATATCATAATATGAAATATGGATTAGTTGCAAGCAAGGAACTAGTTGACTTCCTGCGTGAAAGGTAGAATTACTTTAAGTTTCATAGTCTGTATGACAAATAAGTGTTATTGGTTAATTATTTCCTTTTAAATTGTTAACTCAACATTTCTTTATATGATTTTTAAGTATTGTAGGAGGTAATGAAAATAATGGATGTTATAAATAATGTTTTAACTCCATAAAAGAAAAAGAGAAACAAAAATGAAATTTATAAAAGCATATTATCATTGACAGTAAGTCGATGATTCAAAATATATATAAAATATTGATCATTGTACTTTATTTTTTTTTTTTTTTTGGCGCTATGGTCCTACAAGAAGAAGGGCCTCTATTATTATTATTCTTTACTTTTCTGTATCTCGGGCGAGCATTCTCCATCTCCGGATTCCCATTCTTTTCAGGATGTCCTCCACATCGTCCAGCCATCTCAGGTGGGGTCTTTCTTTGCCACGATTTCCACCAGGTCTATCATCCAGCAAGCGTTTAGGAATGGAATCTCTGTCCATATCTGCCACATGGCCCAACCATCTGATTTGGTTTCTTCTTACAATTGAGACCAAAACCGGCCTTGCATAGATCTGATGCAGCTCTTTATTGGTGTGAATTCTCCACTGCCCATCCTCACACACCGGACCATAGATCCTAGGAGAACGCTTCTTTCCCATGCTAGTAGCTTCCTTTCGGAGGCCTTCGAGATTACCCAAGTCTCAGAACTATGGGTGACTTATGACTTTCTTGTTCACTGTGATTTTTGTCCTATGAGAGAGGGAGTTATAGTTTAGCAATTTTTTTATGGCAAAACAGTATCTATTCCCAGCAGCCATTCTTGCTTTCAGTTCTTCCGTCACATCATTAATTTCTGTGGAATCATTAGTGTTCTATGGATGGCTGATGTAGGGATGGTCGGTGGAAGTTCCTCCATTCTGTTGAACTTGCTGACAAGCAACGAGAGCAGTCTCTCAGGCTTGCTGGGGGGTGTGACAGGATTGAATGCCTTATTCACATATCCTAGTTCACTAAATATCCTAAACAGTCATAGATTTCCCACAAAGTACACTATTTGTACGGAGGAAACCCAAATCATTGTTTAGGTACCGGATTTTTAATTAGGAATAGATTGCTCTCTGATTTGAGAGACATATAATTTTTCATTGATAGGGTTTCAGTGGCCATATGTCTGAGACCTGCATTGGTTTAAAATCATGTTGATAAACTTACATTGTCCGACCGAAAGCAGTGATGATGTCAATTGTGAATTTTATGATAAACTACTGTGAAACTGCTTTTTATTCTATTCTTAATTTATCCTATTTATTTTAGATCCAATATTGAAGAGAATAACTGGAAACTTGTTTGTAAGCTAGCAAAACAGGCTAGTGGAAGTTCTAGTCAAGGAACTTTTGCTCCTCTTTGGACTCTCCTTCGTAATACAGCTGAAAGAATTGCCTCTTTGCACTTGCAAATGGTTCATAAAGTTGGCGATCTAGTGAAAGATGTTTCAAAATATGCAGATGAACTTCATAAGAAACACAAAACCGTAAGTAATAAAATATTTCAATCTTTCATTTTTATTTAGTAATTGAAGAAGGAAGTCAATCGAATTGCGTAAACTGTATCCGGTTAATGTAATTGAGGTGATAAGATCGCAGCAAATTAAATGGGCATGTAAAATTGTTGGACTTAGTAACGAAAGAGTTCTTAAAAGATTAATGTGTGCTGTGCTGACTGGCAAACGTCCAAGGTGTAGACCGAGGCGAAGTTAGAAAGATTGCATTAAAGCTGATATGACAGGACTGGGTTTGGCAGGTGCTTGACTGGCGGAGGGAGGTGAGGTATGTAATAAGCGATTGATGGTGTTGGCATCGGACTTTCATGTTCGCATTAGATGAAGATAGCCCCCTAGAGAGCAAGGCTCTTGACAGGTTGAAGACAGGCTGGTCAGCACTAGAGACCTGGAGGGTATATTTTATCAACTAAGAAAGCTAAATTTTCTATACTGCCTTGCAAGGGGTCCCGGAGAGGAAGAGGTAGGACATGAAGTAGCATCAAAACCAAGTAAAATGCACAATATTCAAATTCGCCCACCCACTAACATAATATAAAACAATGTAATAATTCATAAAAAATAATTAACAGACTAGCAATATTATAGTATGAATTTTGGCCAAATGCAGTCCATATTTTGTGTTTTATTTCATACGTAAAATATACCAGTCATTTGTTTGACAACCACATATTTTTTTAGTTTACCATATATACAGTCCATTAGCAATCAATCCATACCAATAGCAATCAATACATATCCAAAGTAACCAATAAAGTCACATTATTATGGTAATATCTCCAGTAGAAAGGAAATGCCATAGCAAAACAACAAATAATAATGCATTTGTGGTATTCGCGAACAAATATTTCAAACTCCAAAAATACAGCAGAACTATAGAACAGTAGTTGGTTTTAGATTACATAAAAAGATGCTCCTAAAATCTCACTATCCCTTGTATTATATATTCTATAATATATATATATATATATATATATATATATATATATATATATATATATATATATATATATATATATATATATATATATATGGGAGCGGGGTAGCTCAGTGGTAGGGCACTGAGCTTCCAATGCAAAGGTCCCGAGTTCGAACCCCGGCTCATGGCAAAAAATTTATTTATCTGTTTCATTGGCCGTGGGGCGACCTTGGGGTCAGAAGTCCCTCCTGGGGCACACCCAGCCTCTATAAAGTGGGTACCCTTAATTGAATAATTAGTTAAGGGGGAAAACCTGGCGGTTGAGCGTGATCTCGGTCAAATCACCTCCTTGCACAACCGTTGACCTAGAAACAGTGCTTTCCCTAAATAGTACTGAACCCCAGACCCTTCATGGGTTGTAGTGGTACAGGTTTTTATATATATATATATATATATATTATATATATATATATATATATATATATATATATATATATCATTATAATTTAAAGAGTGTGGGTATCGGTGGTTAGTCCAAAGGAAGTGAAAGCAAATAATGGGAAGAGAGAAGCTACTATTTATACTCAAATTAATATGATTTAAATTTACAAAATTAAGGTAAATTTTTTTTCAGGTTAAAGAAGAAGAAGGAGGTACTTTAGAAGTTGTTCAGGCTATACAATCTACCTCATTAACGCTTCAAAAAGCTAGAGATTCATTTACTCAGAAGGGATTAGAACTTGACAAACTGAAAAAGGAAAGTGCCTCTCCTAGAGAACTTGAAAAGGCAGAACAAAAGTTAAAAAAAGCTCAAGAAGAATACAAAGTATTGGTAGAAAAGTATGGAGCTGTCAAAGAAGATTTTGAAAGGAAAATGTCACTAGCATGCAAAGTAATTATTATATACTAATAAATTTATATAATTTTATTTAACAATTTATATTACGTAATAAATAATTTAAATCAACCTGGTTTATTTTTGAACAAAGGCGTGGTTATTTAAAATGATATCTATTTTAAGATTATGAAATCTCATATCAACTTATTCTAACTCTAAGATATCTTCGAAATAGGAGTATATTCTTATGTTTTTTCAGAGGTGTAATTTTTTAAAATAATATCCATTTTAAGATCACACCATTGCATATCAATTTATTTTTATTTTCCAAATTTTTTGAGGTAAGGGTAAGGTCCTTTATTAGTATATCGGTGGCTTAGTTTTCATTAATACTATAAATTTTAAGATTATGCCTGAACTTTTCAGATTTATTCGATAATAGTCCATTCTTATGTTTTTGGGGTCTATTGCGAGATTGTGCAACATCATATTTATTTGTTTGAACTTCTCACATTCTTTTTTATTGTGTTCCATCATTATTTGAGGTGTGCTATATTATGATGTTAACTAGTGTTTACTTATGTCCTTTTAATTTTCCCATTTTGCTATCTTGAACATTTATTTTGGAAAACTATAGAAGCAATCCATAAGGTTGATAAAAGTAATGGTGACCAGAAAATCTATTGCTCTTATGAATGGTGTATATCTCCGACAGTATCATAACAGGCCCTCCTCACACCAGGACATCTCTTCCATACATTGTTGTTATTCTACCCTTAATCAATCTATACGGAGTAAGAAGGTCAAGATTTATGAGATCTATGTGAGATATTGAAATTAATAGTATTTTTTCCTTATAACCTTATAAATTAATGACCTTCAATATCAAGGATATATTAAATGATTAAAATAATTGATACATAAGCATGTAATCATAAAGTTGATATTATAGTCTAAAATTATGCTTTAAATATCATAACAGTCCATTGTATTAATAGTATTGGGGAAGTTTAAATAAATCATCAATCAAAAGGAAAATCTTAAAATCCTATTTTAAAGAAATCATAAAAGTTTAAAGAAATTTATACATGATACCACCATCATCAAATCGATAGTATTTTAGAAAATTATGCCTCCAAAAACATCAAAATTGACTCTTATATCACAGAAATACAAAAAGCTAAAAGAAATGTATACTCAATGGAGCAATCTTCAAATGGAGATAAATTTTAAAAACTATATTTCTGAAAACATAATAATGGAATCTTGTAGCAAAGACATCCCTAAAAGTTAAAATCATTGATACTTCGTCCAGCACCTTTTTTTGGAATCCCTTTTTCTAGCTATTCTAGTAATATTTTCAGCCCAATGTTGTCTTGGCTTTGACAAATTGACTTGACGTTGAAGTTTAATTTGCCTCAATCACATCAATATCCCCGTATAGATAATAGATCTCTGTTCTTCCTCCTGTGCCAAGCCTCTGTGACTTTTCTATTCTTTATTTGTGAGGGTCCATGTCTCTGATCTTTAAGTAAATACAGGCCTAATGAGGGATATGTAAGACATTTCAGGCAGTGCAGCATGCATTTACTTGGTTTTCTTCTGATTGAGACTCATTCCTATAACTTCTATTAACATTAAAAAAGAGTTCTTGAGGAACTCAAAGGATCGTGCAACTAGGTCTAGATCATCTGCTCAACCAAGTATTTGTATTACTAGTCTGTTAAAAATGGTGTCAATTATTTTTTTGACAGAAATTTGGCTTTCTGAATCTCATATTACCTTTGCTAGTGCCAAGTTGATCGGTAGGCAGCCATGCCCATCACCCTGCCTAACTTTTCTTGTGGAGATAAACTCTGGGTACAAGTCTCACTTCACCCACAAATGAGAATGATTCAATGGATTGTTTTAGATGTCTCCTGGTGCATGTTCAGAAATAGAAGAATAAATTAATCATATAAAAGGAAGAAAGCAGTCTAATTGCTTTAAAAAAATTAGGAACAATTAAATGAACATTAGAACTTTCCTACAGGAACCCATTATACATTAAAAAATCGTCTGCAGCCGTAATTTTCATTTATGTTGTCCTGATGGAAAATCATTAGTTGACCCCTGTCGTTCATTATCCTCCTTTAAGGGTTATGACATTTGACAGGGTCATTACAAGAGATTGGCTAGGTTCTATAAATTTAATTTATAACTTAAATCCTAAATGAGTGAATGAAAACAACTTGTGGAACCAAGGAAAAAAAAAAAAAATAAGAAAATATAGAATGAATGTCAAGACTAAGCTGATTTTTTTTTTTTTTTTTTTTCCTCCATTCGCTGAACATTGCTCATTCAGAATTCTTTCCTCCAGTCCATATTGTTAATAGAAACTTCTTTACTTAATTTCACATATGCCTTTAAGTTTGTATGATTTGGATTTGGGTGAATTTGAACCAAAGAGGATGCTGGTGAATCCTTTATCACGACTATACCCCTGCATACACTTAACTGGTTGGGCTTGAGTTTTTAGCCTTAAATTTCATTACCATGATGTAGCACTCTGTTATTCACCTGGTACCGTGTGACTTTACTTTTCTTATTATTTACCAGCTGTAAGCAGGTGTTTCAGGGGTAGGGAGAGAGGGGGGGGGGGTTTGAATTTAAGTCGAATGAAATCAAAACAGAAATGATTAGATATCTGAAAAACTTCAATAACAAGGAACTCTAAGAAGCTGTATAGCAGAGGAAACATAGTGTCTTAGGTGGCATTATTTTAAAGAGAAAAATATTGAATTACCTGATTAGGCCGACCGGCCAGCAAAAGCGGAGTTGAGCAAAGCTGAGTCAACTTTCAAAACTGATTCAAAGGTTCTTATTGAAAAACCGGCCACCAAATATGAAGTGGAGCTGAGTGTAGTTGAGCAGCGTCGCAAGGGTCAACTCCACTCTGCTTCCTCTTGCATTTTGAAAACTGACGGTGTCAACGTCATCAAATTACACCAGTTGAATGGTAATTGGATGCAAAAAAAAATTTAAAAATTGTCTCTCATACTAACAGAATGTATAAATTTTATTTAATTTGTTTTTACATTCTATTTCTGTTGTAAATATAGTTAAATTAGCTGAATGAAAAGCATTGAAAAGATAAAAAGTACTTAAGTTGAAAGTGGCAGATATTACAAATGAATATGCCTTCGATTCCATGCGCTTTAATAGCCACTTAACCCTCCCTCTCACATATTAACATGTCGATATGAAGTACATAGGAAACTTAATGTGCTTTCAAATTGATTATAATGAATTTTTTTGAGAGATGCATAGATTATGATTTTTGGGAGGGGGAAGGGAAATCAGACGAAAACAGATATTTCTTTTGAAATAAGCAAACAGTACACATTCTATAACTCCTCACTTTTTGAATCTACATCAAAAAGCTACACATACAATTAATACTAAATTTTATCTTCATTATTTTTATATATAAAAATAATTTCAATAAAATGCATAGTTATTGAGTCATGTCCGAAAAACTAAAAAAATTTTGGAAATTTTGCTGTTATTTGCATATATCTCGGAACACCATGGAAAATTATGTTTGGGAACACCAAATTCAGATTCAGCATCCCAAAAATCCATAAAACCAAAGAGAAATCGACTGTTTAAATTTTTTTTTCATCCAACTAACATGCGACTGACTTAATTTGATGACTTTGACGCCGTCAGTTTTCAAAACAACCGATTTCATCGTTAGTCAAGGTGAATTCTCTTTTAAGGACATATTCTTGACATCATATCGGATGAGGTTTATCTAAAATTTAAAAATGGTTACTAGCTCCTATTCTATTATAACTACCAAACGATCAATCAACAAGTACTTATTACGATAAACTGTAAAAAAAATTCAACAATATTATAAAATAAAAATATGACGGAGAGTTTTTGGTTACCCTCCTAATTAAATAATGTAATTTCTGCTGAAATAGGGATATACATTTTAATCTAGTATTCTGACTAAAGTTAAAGTTAAACTTAAGTTTAAGTTATCAGAGGAGATTACCATATTAGTCATTTATTTCCACAGTGAACCCTAATCATCACTGACAATTTTTCTGGAAATGCAAAAAAAAACTAGGTATATTTTCAATTTCCATTATAGTATCAAAGCAAATATTTAAAAAAAATTAAATAAGGAATTCAATGTCAAGCTTAATTAAAAAATATCCTTAAATAAGAAATTCAGTGAGTGGTTTTATTTTTAATTATATTATATGAATTGAATGAATTCTCAATAGTGGACTATCCTGGTCGAAGACCTGCCTGAAATTCATTTAATATATTGTTTATTTTTACCCAGCTCTGTACAGTTTTTTTAGCAACAATCCTGCAAACAGTTTATAGTCTGTATCTGTGATGATGGATATTCCTCTATAATTATTCATGATATTTTTGTCACCCTTTTTAAATAATAATAATAATAATAAACCTTGACTATGGGTGCACGGTGTATCGTGGCCTCTCAGGGACTCAGGAACAGACTAAAAAGAATTATGAATAGCTTTGTAAGATTTGTTAAAGGAACCCCGAGACGTTCCCATGTTTCCCACTACTATGCCGAGTTAAGGTGGCTGTTTCCCTCCTTCAGAAGACAATAGTTCCTTTACCAAATAATCAACAATCATCGTCCTTCCTATGTTTATAATCTCCTCCATTTTAAATCATCTATCCACTCCCTCTCCACAAGATCTCATCCTTCTGACCTTTATACCCCTTTCCACAGATCTGCTTCATATCAACACTCCTTTATTGTCCGTTCCACCACTTTTTGGAATTGCATCCCGCTTAAAATCCGCCATGCACCATCCTTATCCACATTCAAAACCCTCTTGTTCTAATTCCTCTTCACAATCCAATCAGACACTGGTTAATTATCTATTATGTAACAAGGATTATTAATGTTTTATTTTTATTTTCATACACCACTATTTTATTTATTTATTTTGTTTATTATTTATGAATTGGAAAAGGTTCAGTATCACTTTTGACATAGCACTGTGAAGAAAACAAATAGGAAATTGTGTGCTTTTTTTTTTTTTTTTTTTTTTTTTTTTTTTTTTTTTTTTTTCCATCTTAATATCTGTTTTTGTATATAGTTTACAATACCATTGCGAGTTTTCATTTTAAGTTCTTAAGTAACATATGTAAATAATTTATTTTCTTTTACTTCTTTTTATTATTTTTTTTTTCCGCAACGGTTTTTTCATAAAATTAATTTAATGCCCTTTCCATTTGTATTTATCTACCTATGCTTATTTTATTTCTCGGATGTCGCGATAATGATATAGTTTAATCCTGTTGCTCATCTTCTGTCATTAATATATCTTTAAGTTATATTAACATGTATACAGATTGCGTGTGTCCGCTGTGACGGAGTCAGCCCTACTCACATTTGGCCTACCCACTCTTCGCTTGCCATGAAGCTCTTCAGCCAATGTCCTCCTAGGGATCTCGTCCTCCTTCATCCTTGCAATTTGGCCCGCCCATCGAAGTCTCCCAATCTTGATCCACTTGATCATATCAGGATCTTTGTACAGTCTTGAGAGTTCCTGATTCTTCCTCCTTATCCAGGTGTCTCCCTCTCGAACCGGGCAAAAAATTCTTCTCAATATCTTCCGTTCAAACACCAGAAGGAGGATCTCACTGGCTCTAGTGAAGGCCCAGGTCTCTGACCCATACATAAGTACCGGACGAATCAGGGTCTTATATAGTCCGATCTTGGTCTTGTTGGAGAGGTGTCTGCTTTTGAAGTATTTGCTAGTCCAAAATAGCTTCGATTGGCTGCGGCGATTCTTCGTTTGATCTCCTGAGATATGTCATTTTGAGTGCTTATTTCTGAGGCCAGGTATACGAAACATTTCACTCTCTCAAATCTATATGGTCCAACTTCGAAAAAACCTGTCTCTACCTCTGATGGTCCTATTCTCAAATACTTTGTCTTGACTTCATTGATGACCAAGCCAAAAATTTTGGTTTTTTGTTCTAGAGCCAGGAATGCTTCTTTTAGGGCACGCTCAGATCTGGCAGCTATGTCAAAGTCATCTGCATACACCAGCAACTGGATCCTACTGTTGAATAAGGTGGCCCGTGTCTGGATCCTTGATCTGCTTACTGCTCGTTCCACCACCAAATTAAAGAGAAGACTTGCAAGGGCATCTCCCTGTCTCACGCTGATGTTTGTGGCAATAGGTTCAGAGAGGTCAGATCTGATACGAACCACGCTGTTCGACCCCAACATGGTCATTCTCATCAGACGAATCAGCTTCCTGGATATCCTCATTTCTTCTAGCGCCTGGTAGAGTTCTGGTTGGGTTACGCTATCGTACGCAGACTTGAAATCACCATCCTGTATTCCTTGGCTTTTTCCAGAATCATTCTCAGGGAGAAGATCTGGTCCGTGGTTGACCTACCCCTTCTGAATCCAGCCTGGTAGTTCCCTATCTCTCTTTCAGAATGGGGGGTGAGTCTATCGAAAAGGATATTTGACATCAGCTTGTAGGCACTCGAAAGAAGGGCAATACCCCTGTAGTTGTCGCATTCCGTTTGGTTGCCCTTCTTATGAAACGGGCAAATAACTCCTTGTCTTCAAACTTGTGGCATCCTTTCTTCTTCCCATATTGTAAGGATGAGAGGTTGTGGAGTTCCTTCATAAGTCCCTTGCCACCGTAGCGAATGATCTCCACTTGTATGCCATCTTGTCACGGGGCTCTGTTATTCTTTAGCTTCATAACGGCCGCCTCGACTTCATCGTGGTCTGGTGGTTCTGCATCATTTGAGATGATACTGGCTTCCTCATCTGTATCGTCTTGGTGAAGGACTTTTCCAAAGTACTGCCTCCATCTCTCCAGGATCTCTTCCTTTTCCGTCAGGAGATTTCCATCTGAATCCTTGCAGTAGGTGACGCGGTTTAAAAACCGACCTCCCTTCATTCACCTTCTGGAAGAATAGCCTACTTTCATGTAGAGTTCTGTGGGTCTCAACGTCCTCCATTCTTTTGTTCTCCTATGATCTTTTCTTTATGCGATGGATCTTTTTTTCCTCCCTTCTCCTGTTTCTATACTCCTGTGATCGCCGCGTGTAATGCTGAATCATCTTCTTATATGCCTCGAGTTGTGCATTCTAGGCCGTCATCGTCGAACCACGGTGTCCTGGCCTTCCTTGTTTGAGGTCCGAGTGTCTCCTTTGCTGTATCTTTAAGAGCTTCGGCTATTCCGGCCCACTGATCATCCACTGTCTCGGCTCTCTCTCCCAACTCCTCCGTGGGTTTAATTTCCAATCGTTGCTGGTATGTTATGCACTGCTCCATGTCTTTTTGTTGATATTGGAGGGCGGATCCTGGCAATACTCAAGAAATGGTCCAAGTCGACGTTTGCGCCTCTGTAGACTTTAACTCCAATAAGGTTAGATCTGTGGCATGAGCTAATTAAAATGTGGTCTATTTGGTTCATGACTGCCCCATTTGGCGATCTCCAAGTGGCTTTGTGGATGTTCATGCCAGAAAACAATGTGTTGCCAATGACTAGGTCTTGTGCTGCAGCAAAGTCTATGAGCCTTTGACCATTCTCATTCGTGCTTTCATGTAGACTGAAGGCTCCTGTTGTTGGACGATAAATAGTTTCCTGACCAATTTAGGCACTAAGATCACCAAGAATGATCTTGTTATCATTTTCGGCGCAGTTTCTGAAAGTGCTTGCCAATGCTTCGTAGAAGATATCCTTATCCTCGTTTGATGAGACTTCAGTTGTTGCATGACAGTTTATAATAGATACATTGAAGAATCTTACCTTGATACTCATATAACACAGTCGAGGAGAGATAGGCTTGAACTTAAGGACAAGCTGGCGTGCCCTTCCTCTAACAATAAATCCTGTGCCAAAGGCGTGTTTGCTTTCATGGCAACTATAATATACTGTGTGGAATCTCTTTTCTAGCTAGCCACATCCGAGCCAGCGTACCTCCTGGATTGCTGCAATGTCCACGCGGCATATGTCAAGTTCTGCAAGGAGCGCCCGAAGGGCTCCTGGTCTATGTAAGGATAAAATGTTCCAATAAACTAGTCTTAAGTCATTATGGCGGTTCTTTGGCCTATTCCTTAAAATCAGTCCGGCTTCTGTGCTTTGTAGAGGTTTTGTGATATGTAAGTTGTATTAACAAGTAAATACTTTTTCTTTACTTACTTTTTATATTCTTTCTTTTCTGGAGGTTTTGTTTTTTCTATATGTATGTGTATTTTTTTTCAGTACAACTGTAAGTATTGTTGAGATGATTTTATTTTATTTTTTAGTTGTTTACATATTTTGTATGTTTTCAAATACTTTTTCTTTACTTACTTTTTATATTCTTTCTTTTCTGGAGGTTTTGTTTTTCTCTCTCTCTCTCTCTCTCTCTCTATATATATATATATATATATATATATATATATATATATATATATATATATATATATATAAATGTACTTTTTTTTTCTAGTACAACTATCAATATTGTTGAGAAGATTTTATTTTATTTTTTAGTTGTTTACATAGTATTATTTAAATTATTGTATATGTTGTTTGAATCTTTATCAGTTAGTTTTTGGTCAGATATATATTTTATTTTTTGTAATTGTTCATTATTGTTATTTTAAGGGGACTTCATCCCAGAATACAGTTTATTTGTTATGCAATTCAATGTATAAATTTTAATCTAAATGAATAAAAATTCTGTTTGCAAATTTAGCTTATTAATGTTTTTAATTTGTAACCTTAGCATAGTATTTTTTATATTTGTTTATTATTTTTTTTAGCATTTTCAAGAAGTGGAAGAAGTTCATTTAAAACAAATGAAAGAATTTTTAACCACTTATGCTGAATTAGTTGAAAATAATCATGATTTAATGGGCCAGGTTAGTACCACAGTATGAATTTAATTTTACTTTTATTGATTTAATTAAGTTTGGTGAGAGGGTGAAATAAACATATTTTAGTCCAAGTACAACAATTGTCACCATGTGAAAATTAAAAAACGTCTGCCGAGTAGGATCAGTATAGCTTCCTCACAAACTATAATTACTTTTAAATTAAGTTCTAAGATTTGTTGTTAGAGAATAAAATATGTGGAGGAAACCATTTCTGAAGTATAGTCTTATCAAGGAAAAATATACTCTTAAGTGAAAAAAGTCTACAGAATTTAATAAAATCAATATTAGATCATGTAGTTATTAACCTTCACAATATCTGAATATTTCTTCAAATTGAATTAATGGTTGTAAGTGTTATGCCCATCAATAATTTATTTATCTGTTTCATTGGCCGTGGAGCGACCTTGGGTCAGGAGTCCCTCCTGGGGCACACCCAGCCTTTATAAAGTGGGTACCCTTGATTAAATAATTGATCAAGGGGGAAAACCTGGCGGTTGAGCGTGATCTCGGGGTCAAATCACCTCCTTGCACAACCGTTGACCTAGAAACAGTGCTTTCCCTAAATAGTACTGAACCCCAGACCATTCATGGGTTGTAGTGGTACAGGTTTTTTTTAAAGTGTTATGCCCATCAAATAGATTTGAATACAGAAGAATTTAAACATTGGGTTATTTATTTGTTTATTTAAGATCCTATGGGTGTCTCTTGTTCATGTACAGTGATGACAAACAGACGTCAATGTTAGGCTGATGCATCTGTAATATTCTGTTTGATTTCTAAGGTTTTTTTAAATCAGATTCTGATGTTCAATATTTGAAATCATTATCTTTTCAGAAATTATGAGAATGTATCAAATAACACATTCCTTGAGAAATAAAGAGAAAAAAAATAATTGTTGCATTTTTCTTCTGGAAGTATATTAAAAAACATATAAATTATAAATGATTATGGTGAACTATATTATCTAAATAGCATATGTAATAGTACTACATATGTGAAACATAAATTTGCAATAATGCACAAGTAGTGTTCAATAAAAGGTATATTATTATGGATATTAATTTGTTTTTTATTTTTACGGTTTGTCACTTATTATAGAATACTGGTGAGCATGGTACATGTTATTTAACAAGAAGCTTTTTCTTGAATGATAAAAAATTTGTTCTTAATATTTGTGAGGCAAATAATAAAAGAAAGAAAAGCTGGTTTAGTACATTATTATTATGGATATTAATTTGTTTTGTTATTTTTAAGATTCATCACTTATTGTACAATACTGGGGAGCTTAGCACATGTCATTTAATTGGAAGCCCTTTTCTTGCAGAAAAATTTATAAAATTTGTTCTTAATACTTGTGAGGAAAATAACAAAAGAAAGAAAAAAATTGTTTAGTACATTTTATACCAATGTATTTTAGATTAAGTAGAATCTCTGAAGGCACAATTCTTTAGTAGTTTTATGAAGAAAAAAGGGGGGATCTTATGCTATGAATAAAAAAAAAAAAAAAAAAAAAAAAAAACCTGTACCACTACAACCCATGGAGGGTCTTGGGTTAGGGAAAGTACTGTTTCAAGGGCTACGGTTGTGCAGGGAGGGGATCGGGCTAGGATCACGCTCAACCACTAGGTTTTCTCCCTTAATCAATTATTTAATTAAGGGTACCCACTTTGTAGAGGCTGGGTGTGCCCCAGGAGGGTATCCCAACCCCAGGGTCGCCCCACGGCCAATGAAACAGAATAAATAATTTTTCTGTCATGAGCCAGGATTCGAACCTGGGACCTTGAGCACCGGAAGCTTATTGCCCTACCACTGAGTTACCCCGCCCCACTATGCCATGAATAAGGCTGAGCTTATATTTAAAGTGCTTTTCTTGACTGGTGTTTCTGTGGTTTCCACCCCTCAGGTATTGCTGCTTCTCTGTCCTTTCTTGAAGCAGATAGTGAAAACTATGTAATTTTACTGGGCCTCCTGAACAGAGCTCTTTATACTTAGGCTGATTTGGTGAGTGAGATGGAATAGGGGCTGCCAGGGCTCATCTAGAAGCATCAAAGAGTTAATATTCATTTATACTGCTAAGGCCATCTTGAGGTCACTTCACTATTTTAGCAGTGCATAGGGGGAGGGGATACAAAGATACATGTCCTCCTTCAAGGTATAAAAAAAAAAAAATTAGAAATATAGACAAATTTTCATAAACTTAAAATATATAAAACTCATAACCATATTTCTTAATTTTAATTATTTTTTTCCCTCCCAGGTACATATGGACTTTAAAAGACAATGCATTGAAATGACTGTAGATAAATTGCTAGAACAATTTGTTTTGGACAAATACACAGGACTTGAGAAACCAGGTTTGGATCATTAGTTTATATTATTTGTATTGATTACTTATTTCCTTGAATAAAATGAAAAAAAAATTTTTATTCTGGACTAAAGTCACCAGAATCATAATATGGTACAAAATATTGGTCCATTAGGCTGACCGGCCAAAGAAGCTCAGTTAGCAACTTGCCTTTTGCATCCATCTGATATTCTATATAATATTTTTAAAATACATATATATAGCATATATATCATTTAAAAAAAAAAAAAGCTGATCATGTCGGAATTGAAAAGAAAAATCGAATAATTTCCCTTACACATTGGATTAACAATTCTTCCACATACATTGCATATTTTATACTGAACCAAAATAAAATAATTTGAGAGGTTTTGCAGTGAAAACAAGCGATAACATTTTTCAAAAACTATATATATATATATATATATATATATATATATATATATACACAGCATATATAACATATTAAAAAAGTAGCAAAGGTGATCATGTTGGAGTTGAAAAGAAAGATCAAATATTTGTGTATAAAGTTGAATATTTTCCCCTACACATTCGATTAAATATTCTTACAAATCCATTGCATATTTTACACTGAACCAAAATAAAATAATTTGAGAGGTTGCGCAGTGAAAACAATCGGAAAAAAAGGATGACACTGACGAACAAAGACCCACGGTTGTGTGACAGTGGTGAGTAGGTGTGGTGGGAGAAGCTGAGCGTAGCGGAGTCAGCTTCCAAAACCGAACCCAGGTTGACGTGAACTGACTCTTGCTACGTCACTCAACTGTGCTCAGCTTCTGATGGCAGGCAAAACCTTTGGTTCGGTTTCGGAAGCTGACTCGGCTCAGCTGCGCTGCGCTTTCGGTGGCCGGTTGGCCTAAGTCTGGTGAGTTTATTGAATAGCATTCATTATATATATATATATATATATATATATATATATATATATATATATATAGAGAGAGAGAGAGAGAGAGAGAGAGAGAGAGAGAGAGAGAGAGTGAGAGAGAAAGAGCATTTTTAAAGGCTTGCCTTATTTACACTAGTAAAAGTGAATATGGCAGTATTCACGTTAATTAAAATGAATATGCTTTAATTTACAGAAGTGAATGCAAATATTTTCACACAACCTTATTAATTAATACTCTTATTTATTAAAAAACCTGGTGCGCGCAACAAACAACTTTCACTTACCGCTCAACTTTGAATAGAAATTATTTTCTGTCCATGTTGTGCTATTATAAAAATTTTGAATTGCATTTTTAACCTATCTAAAGCTAAAAGCTTACAGCTAACAAATCATAAATACCATTAAAATAACAAAAGTCCTATTTATTATATCACCGGTTGATTTTGGGTTGTACGATCCGTTGATTATGGATTGTAAGACTATTAGTTATTAAACTGTTATTTTCCATTGCAAAGTTTATTAAAATGGAATTAACAGATTTGCATTGTCTGTCATAGACAGGTCAAAAGTTGTCACACTAATTGGAAGTGGATACTGTTGGAATATCACAAGGGAAAATTATTCACTAATTTAATTTTCTAAAAGGGTACATGATATTTTTTTGGAATAAACAGACTATAAATACCTAATTATTTAAATATAATATCTGATCTAGAGTTATTAAACTACTGTAAATATATTTAAGGTTATAAACATATTCATGAAATATTTTTATATTTCATTTCTTCTTTCATACAAGTAAAATGAAATAGTATCTTAAACAGTGTCATTGCCTTGAATCCGTGGACTTTAAATACTTTTTCATTCAAACTTAAAAAAAAAAAATGTTAAAAGTTTACATTTAGTAAGAAAATTTCATTTAATTTCCTTGAGAAAATGTGATTTACATTAAATAATGTTAGTTTTTAGAAATTATTATTTATATTTTTTTCACCACTCTCCGTTACCTTCTACAATTTTCTATATTAGATATTGTTTTTGTTTTTTTTAATTCTCCGTTTTCCAACAATATATTATATGTATACCTTCTGACTATTATTTCCGGATATTCATTTTCAGCCTGGATATGTATTTTTTTTTTTCTCCCATCTTCAATTATCATATTCTTTCAAAAGTTATATTTAGCATTTTTCATAACTCTTAACAATGAGAAATAGTTATTATTTATAATAAACCAAATCAAAGGTACTTTAGAGGAAGACATGATAATGTTGGGATGATAATGTTGGGATGAAAAAATTCATCAAATTATTTACTAATTTAATTTTATGAAAAGTTACATGAAGATTTTTCAGAATAAACGGACGTTGAAACCTAATTATTTAAATATAATATCAGATCTAGAATTATTAAACTACAGTAACTGTATTTAAGGTTATAAACATATGCTTTATACATCCATGAAATGATTTGATATTTCACTTCTTCTTTCACAAAAATACAATAAAATAGTTTTTTAAATAATGGTATTGCCTTCATTAGGTGGTTTTCAAATACTTTTTCAAAGTTAAAAATATTTTTAAATTTTACATTCATTTAGTAAATTTCATTTAATTTCCTTGAAAACATGTGATAAACGTTGTATAATATTAGTTTTCAAAAATTATTTATAATTTTTTGTCAACTCTCCATTACCTTCTATAACTTTCTATATTAGATATTGTTTTTTCTAAAATTCTCCGCATTCCGACGATATATTATACCTATACCTTTCGACTAGTATTTCCAGAGATACATTTTCTAGATCCATGGGGGTGGGACACCCTCTCCCATACCAGAATGGAAAGTCTGCGTCTATGATCCTAGATATACAGGCTTTTCGGTGCACTGTTTACTTATGGGTTGCTAACGGCTATAAAGATACGTTTAATGGACGGTGGTCGGTACAGGGTAGGTACAATAGTCTGAACAATACCCATGAAATTCCGTGGGGAAATGAGTGTACACGACAGCCTTTGGTTGAAGCAAGGAGGCAAGGGCTGTCAAACTTGGATAGTGATCTTTCCGGACCTGCCGTTCAGTTTGTAATAAAGTGTAATGTGTGAATATATGTGTTAATTTTAGCATATAGAACAATGTATGAAGTTGATAGTGAAACTGAGTCTGTTTGTTTAGTCTCTTGTAGTCTGGATGATCAGGATTGGATGATTTTGTTTTTCAAGACAGTACCGGCTCTTTAAGAAATTAGAATATTCTCACCTGCTGTGAATTTGTATTGGGGCGAGGGAGGTAGGCGATGCCCGAAGAATATAATATATATAATATTAAAATGGTATATTGAGTAAATTTAAACAAAATAAATATCTATATTTTTTAATAAATAATAGTATTCATTAAATAAGGTTTTGTGAAAATATTTGCATTCATTTTAATAAACGTGAATACTGCTGTATTCAATTTTGCAAGTGTAAATACAAAGGCTTGGAAATTTATATTACATTCACACATAATGAATGATAATTAACATTACATACCTATTGTAAAAAGAAGAATATAATACGTTGTATAAAAATAAAATGATATATATAGTAAATATATTTTTTTTAATAAATAAGAGTATTCATTAATAAGGTTGTGTGAAAATATTTCCATTCACTTCTACAAGTGTAAATAGAGCCCCTATGAATGTATACTAAGACTTAAAGAGAAGGATGGTTGGGGTGATCAGTCAGAAATAAGAAGGCAAAATAAATAATAATATTTATTTTGCCTTCTTATTTCTGACTGATCACCCCAACCATCCTTTTCTTCATTATTCACGTCAGTCAACCATTAACCCACAATTATTCTAAAACTTTGATTATTCTCTTCAATAGCCTTGATAATATACTTGTGAACAAATAGCTATTGTTAGAAGAATGGGTAATTTAAATATAGCGAAAGTTAATTCTCTCGAAAATAATTATTTATATTGATTTAAAGTTCTACTTTGTTGAACAACTTCAAGAATCCTATCTTCGATATAGCACCAAACTAATTGAAGTTTGTAGAATTTCAACGATTGATATTTTAATTTTGGAATATGGTTATCATCCCTCTTTATTAGTTTCAATTATTGCAAAAAATTACTGTGTGAGGTAATTCTACATAACAATTGTAAATTAAATTAAATGCAAAGAGTTTTTTTTTTTAAATATATTTAAATAATGTTTCTATTCAATGCAACTGAAGAATTGAACAGGGAGATGTCAAACATTTAAACACCTTGATGTTCTGCTATGCATGCATTCAAATTTATGTTCCACAGCCCCGTCCTGCCACAAAGGTTCATGTTGTTAGCTTATCATCTTGATGATAGGTTGAGATATGATGGATCATATTTGGACATACCTTAATGTTGGAGGCTGGATGACGTACACCAATACCGAACTGATGCCTCTATACAATGACTGACATTACCTGCTTCCTAAGATAAATTGACTATGGTGGGTGGAAAATGTGGCAAAGATCAAATCCCAAGAAAGATGTAGGATGAATGGCTGTGTGGACATTGATGGGTTGGCAAACATAGGCTGTGGTGAGCTAAGGGGCATATGAGGATTTTTAATTTTCTTTTAAAAGGAAATTTTAATCATCTTGGACATCTGGGACTAGAGTTGGCTGCACAGCAAAAATGACTAGTGGTCAATGTTGCAGGCAGCTTGGCTTCCTCATGCTCGGTATCACCAGTTAAGAATGAATGTTCTTCTCTAGGTCTAATTTTGTTGGCCTATAGTCCCACAATTTTTTTTTCTATCTTTATTTACATATTAGTGTTCTTTTGCTTTTCTGATTTCTTTTAGAAATACTTTGATTTTGGGTTGGTTTAAATTGAGATTTATTTCATTATTATTATTACTCTTTATTGGGTTTTATAGGTGCTATCGATTTGGATGGAGTCATAGAAGGTCTTAGTATTAATGATATAGTGAAAAATGCTTCAACATCATCAAGTGTGACTGCTACAGCGCAGCCTACAACATTGAAACGGGAAGGTAATTCTGGTATTTGGGACAAGTCTAAGCAGTCCCGCCGAGCAACCTCTCTCCTAAATATCTTCTTGCCTAACTCCTATGGTATGTACTCCTAATACCTAACCCACCCTCAAGACCCCTAAATGAATAAATTTTAAATAAGATACAGGAATGAGGTATATATACTTATTATTTAACGATGCTTAATGATTATCATATTAATTCATTGGCATTTTTATGCATGTGTTTTTGTCTGTATTTCTTATTTGTATGAGTCCGCATATGTAATTAAAAAAACAAAAATTAATCTATTAGGTCTTTTTCTTATTTTAATGTAACTAAACATTAGAAAAAAAATTAACCTTCAATAATTTAATGTTTTTTTGTTTTTTTTATCTAAAACTCAAAATTTCAATTTCTTGACTAAAGAAGTTTATAATAAGTACTAAAAAAAAATTATCTGAAAAATCTGACAGCATATTTGTGTGTAATTTAATTATTTATTTTGTTAATACTTTAAAAATTTTAGGTTGATATCTTGTTTACATGTGGATACACACACCTGGGGGTAGTGGGTTGGGTAGGAGGTGCAAGAGACAGATGAAAATTAAACACTGCAATGACGTTTTAACTTGACTCCTTTTTTTTTTTAAGTTTAATTTTTTGGTAGTGAGGGGAGCTTTTGTTTTTTTCTAAAAAATAAAAAAGGTTTATAGTATCTTTCCTTTGTTTTTATAGTTCATATTTTAATTTATGAAGATTGCCTATTAAATTGTAGGCGTTTGGAATGCTGTGTGTGTGTTGGTGTGAGCCTATTTGTTGCAGGAAAGGACCATTCAGTTGCAATGGCCACATCAGCACCAACGAGTCCTATACCTCCTGATACGTCTACTATGTCTCGACAACCCCTCAGAGGATCAAAATGTAATTTTTTTTTTATTTTGACCTCTAAGTTACTATACTTATATCGATTTTAGGAAAAGTAACATTCTTCTTTTTTAATCTATATAGTTAGTCCTTCTTGCACGATATTTTAAAAGTTTTATTTAAGATTGATAATTTGTTTAATATCAGCTTAAATTTTATTTTTTAATATAGCTCAGTTTTAGTTATGTGTATAGTTATTTATTTAGCCGTTAAATTTATTAAGTGTTTTATTTATAAAATTTTTATAACATTATAATGTAAATTTATTATTGGTGATAAAATAGTTCTATATCATCTTCATCTTATTTCATTGTCAAAATCAAATGATTTTAGAAACTTATTAGCTTGTTTTTAATGTGTGTTACCCTTTCCTATTCGATATAAGTATTACTTGATGTGCATTAGTATTTAGTATGTTATTATTGCACTCAGCTTAGTTATTTACTTTAATTTTATACCTTCATTAAAAGATATGTGATTTATTCAATAATAATATTTTATTACTCTAATAGTTTAGCATAATAAAACAATTTTATACGATCATTTTATAATTGGTGATTAGTAGTTTAGGTAGTTACTGAGGGTTTTATAACTTTATGTTTACCTCTCCATAGCTTAGGGATCAAGCAGTTTAACTTGGGTATAGTTAAGTATCAATATACTTATAGTGCGTCCTTCATAAGATTTTAATTTCTAAAAATTCTGAATTCTTTCAAGTTCAGTGTCCTCAATCCCCCCTCCCCCACTAATATGTATTATTATTCTTTCTTTTTTTTTCTTTAAGTCAATTAGGCTCACAATAGTACTTGTAAACAGATACTGTAGATGCAAAGGAAGTTTATAAAAATTCTCCAGACACATAAGGCTGCATTATACATCTTGAGCTATGTCTCTTACTGAGTAATAGTTAACTTTATTATAAATTTCTTATGGAATGTCAGTTGTGAACTAGTAAAAAAAAATCAATTTTTAATATTAATTTTTTGAAACTAATGGATACATTGAGTAGCTTGGTTCTGTGACCAATCATGAGGATGATATTTAGGTCCGTGTTATGTACAACTGTTTGTTGTTGATGCTTTTTATTTTAATGATGGCTTATAGAGGTAATTAAAACTCCTTTTTTTTCTGATATCTCCTGAGTTATGCACATGAATACTGGATTACTCCTATACTTTAGTATCTTTATTTACTTATTATTATTTTTGGCACTATTGCTCTGCAAGGGCAGCACCTCGAGCAGGGCCTCCTCACAAATAGCCTACCAGACTGGTCTGTTGACAGCAACAACTTTCCATCTAACTCATAGCTACCTTAGGTCTGCCTCAATGTCATCCAACCATCTCATCCTACGACTTCCATGTCTTCAGGCATCTCCTGGCTTTCCATACATGACTTGTTTTGTTTTGAGGTGATTGCTCCCCATACACTCAACATGACCTAGCCACCTCAACCTTCCTTTTTTTATTACAGCACAATATCAGGCTGGTTTCTTATGTGAATGCTCGCAGTTCATTGTTTTTCATATTCTCCACTCACCTCCAGGAAAGACCAGTCCATATATTTTTCCGAGCGCTTCTCTTTCCCACGAACTTTGGTGTTTTTCCATACGCTGCATCAAGATCTATCTCTACCTTCCATTGATGACTAATGGGTGTATAGTGGTTTTATAAATGATCACCATATAAATGATAACAAGATCTTGGCATCTTGTTACTCCATGAAAGATTTTTGAACCTAAACACCTTGATAACTCCAAAGTAGAAACAATTTCCTGCTTCTATTCTTGCTTCAATATCATTCCTTAGCTTTATTTTTTTTCAGTAACAAGCATTCCAAACTATATGAAGGCCTCACAAACTGGGAAACTATGACCACTGATATACCGTGAAACTTCCTGTTGCAGACATCCCTATAGCGGACAATTTTATTATCTCCTATACCTGTATATAGATGTAAATACCTGTTTGTATCTTCTTTGTTTATTGAATAAGGAGATAATCTCAGCTCATATTGAGATTTGGTGTTCTCAGCTTTGAAATGTCTGAATCCGTATTCTAAAATATAACAATGCAACAACTGTTCATCTTTCACTATCTCATTTTCGTTTTTCATAATTTGCTTCAGAAGATAGCAGATTATAATTTTTTCTTTTATTATAACCATTATTATGGGCAATATGTTTGGAATTTGATATAAGCAGAAATCGGAGCACTAATTACTGTTTATTAGTTTAACGTTAGAAATCATTGCAGAAAACTAAGCAGTTAGTGTGAGTTGTTATAAACTTGTTCTGTGTCACATCCTCCCTAAGAGCAATCATTTATGTATTACCAACAAAACATCCAAATTATATGAAATTAATTTTTTATTTTAAAATTGATTCTATTATTTACTTTTTCGCCATAAACATATAATCCTCATTCTGGATTACAGCTTTTCTGTACAGATTGAATAAAATAGATCAATTATAAAGAGAATGTACTTAAAAGTTGTCTTCATAATGCTCGTTCTAAACTGCTAAGCTAGTTTAAAATTATTAGTAAAAAATTTGCTGATTGTGTTAGTGTTTATATCTGGCAAATAATATATCAAAATAGAATCTATAAGTTAGATAAAAAAAAAAAAAGAAAAATAATAGTCAACAAAAACAATTATTTATCAACAAGCTGCTTGGACTTTAAGCTTGGAGATGAGTATTTAAATTCAATTCATATTATTTTATTTTAAATCAATCGTATAATATATATATATATATATACACACACACACACTCAAGTCACTATAGGTGTAAAAGGTTATCAATCCCATCAGGAAAGTTAGTTCATTTGGAAAATGGTCTGATTCCAAGCAGAGGAAGGATTAAATTTTAATTGAAGGAAGCTAGTCGACTGTTCTACATATCATGGGTGATAAATATTCAGGACGCAGTCTTATTTAAAAAAAAATAATAATTTTTTATTTGTGCCAACGTTTCAACCCAAACATGTGGGTCATCTTCAGTGCTGAAAATTTTAAAATACAATCAGAGATATAATATTATACAACCGATAATGGTAAATAATAAACTATAGTGATTGATTGTACATGAATCTTAACTAATATTACAATACACATATTATAAATGAAATATGTAAATAGTTATACAAACTAAAAATAATGTATATGGTAAATAATAAACCATAGTGATTGATGTTACATGAATCTTAACTAATATTACAATACACATGTTAAAAATGAAATATGTAAATAGTTATACAAACTAAAAATAATGTATATAATCCATTTATACAAATTTGTAATATTATCTCTTACTAACCGTGGTTTGAGCACTGAGGAAGTTCAAGTACTGAAAAGTTTTGTAGGTAAGTGAAAAGGTCAGGGAGAGGATTTCCCAGTTGTCCTTTTTCAGGTAGCAAAAGGTAGGTAAACATAGTCAGAGGGGGAGGGAGGTAACATTTTTGTTTGTAGAGTGTAAATAATTTGCTGACTAAATATTTCAGATGTGTACAATATTTGCATTGTTTCTTATGGTTACAAAATTGTAACTATTGGCTAGTAATGAAATGAACATAAGCAAGAGGTGTCAATCAATATAAATATAACATAGTTTGATTAAATGTATACAATGGTTAGGCAAATAATATTTATAATAAAGACAATTGTAATGGATTGAAATAATATGTAGGACAATATTTTAAGAATAACAATATTAATCATAATAGGAGTATGTATTATATTAAGGATTACATAGTTTTAATAGTATAAGTATAAACATATCTGTGCCTGTTTATAGTATATATTTATATTGAGAATGGACATTATATGAATATATATATAATTAACTTAGGAGTAGTTACCTATGTAAGTTGACGGGGAAATGGGGAAAGATGTAAAACATAATTTTAATGATTCGACTATTGTTTTAGGAGGTGGAAAATATTCGAATATGTGTTTCAGATCTTTTCTTTGCCTACTTTGTAGTTTACAGGATTATTTTTTTTCCAAATTAATGAATATAGCTTCAGAAAGTAGTCGTTTTTGGTGATTAAGAACTGTGGCAAGTGTGGTTGGGTTTTCAAAATTAAATGTGTGGTTGAGGGTTATAGCATGTTCCGCTAGTTTCGAGGCGAACGGGTTTCGTATGGAAATGCTGTATTTGTATTGATACATTTGTTTGTTTTTTTAATAGTTGTTGGTTTCTCCTATATAAGAAGAATTGCAGTTTGGGCTAGAGCATGTGATATGGTATACAATATTTGATTGTTGTTGGAGCGGATCAGGATCTTTGAGTTTATTGTATAGATTTCTTAATTTACTGTTATTTTTGAAAACTATTTGTAGATGGAGAATTTGGAAGTTAAAGCTTTTTTGAGAGAGAACTGGGATGTATGGAATGGATCTGTATTGGCGAATCGTGGTGGGAGACTGGTGAAAACGTTGGCACAAATAAAAAATTTAAGAATAAGACTGCGTTCTGAATCACCCATTATTAAATTTTAATTTTCAGATTCTTTGTTGAATAGTCAGCAATAACTAAAAAACTATTTAAACAAGGTAGTTTCTTATTACAGTATTGTAAACTAGACAAAATTTCCTTTAAAATAACTAAAATTAAAACATAGAAGTACATGTGCCTTCAGAAAACTTGAAATCAAAATACTTTTTTTTTGTATGTGACAGGTCTGTGACCAATTACATACAATTATATAACTCTCCAAAGTACCAGTCTCATGTTTTAAAAATAAAAAATACAATTAATTAATTTAAGGTTTCATTAATTTTATGTTTAATTTTTTTCTGTGGCATAGAATACCATATATTTGAGCTAACAATTTTCCAAAATACACTTTTTATGTATGAAGAATTTGTAAAATATAATATTTTATGCTGGTACAACAAATTAAATTCTCCTTTAAAAAGCTATGGAGTTAATTATTGACCAAAATTAATAATAAAAAATATTCCTTGCAAAAATAATTTATATGGTGTTTTCT